TCCAGCTGGAGAAAAATTGGTCAGAAGTACAGGCAAAGGTCGGCGCAGCGGGTCAGATTTGGCGTTGAAGGTGGTTGTCCATGAAGCACAGGGCAGAGGCGTGTGCCACTTACGTCTTTCCTCTTGTTCTTACCGCTTGTCCGTACTTCCTCTCTCTAAACGGCATAAGAAGGCGCTCGAGCTTGCTATCCTCTATCTTATGGAGGGGACGCAAGCATCACGTCGACAGAGAATGTGCACAACGTCCGTGTCATGGGGGCTGGGAATGCTGCACTTGGTGAATCACAAGTTCGCCTCGAGGCTGGTTTTCCTACGCCGCGCATTGACAGGGGATTCGATTATGGCGGGGATTGTAAGGGGACACCTTCCCTTTCCTTACTATCAGTCCTTCGATCTCGCGGTTTGAGCGCTGTCATAAACCCCGGGATCAATCGGATTTCCTTCGCAAGTGTCGATCGGCCTCGACGATCATTCCTCGGTCCAGTGACCTTTCTCGACCTAGGAGTGTCTTATATCGGTAACTAGTGGTGGGGACCGCGATGGATGCATTACGTGAGCGGCTCGGTTTGTCGGAGGAGGAGTTTCACTCCATCTGGTCTTGGGTGCCAACAGCGGATTACCCCAGTAACCCTGAGTTTTCGCTTACCTGGCGACTGACTCGGAATAGGCTATCTCTCAATGATAAGGCTTATGCTTCAGTCCCTTGAATCATGGGCTCAGCTCCTGTACATATTCGCATTGGAAATATATAAATATCTAGACTCATTTTTTATGCTGGTATACCACCGTTTTACCGGCAATGAATGATAAGTGTCCTCTTTTAATCCGGGCTCTAGTTCACGTGACTACCAGACCAAAGTCAGCAGTAAATAAATCAGTGTTATTAGTGAAAATTTAGATTATGTTATTTAAGTTGTGGCAATTATGTGTGAAAAATAATATTGCCCAAATGTCCGCCAAGGCTTAAGCGGCACACCTCCACTCGATGGTCAAAATCTTTGATGACGTCTCTGCATAGTTGTTCCTCGATCTCACCAATATGAATTATTATCTCATCCTTCAGCTGTTGAATTTTTGTTGACTTGTTGGCATAGACCTTACTTTTGAGATCACCCCAAAAGAGGAAATCTAAAGGCGTCAAGTCGCAAGATTATGGTGACCAATTGACTTCGCTGTTTCGAGAGATGATGCTACCTGGGAACTTCTCATTCAATAAAGCCATTGCTGCATTGGCTGTGTGGCACGTGGCGCTGTCCTGTTGAAACCACAAGTCTTCGGCATCCATAGCATTCAATTCAAATTGAAAATGCCAAAAACTTAAGTTATTACATCTGAAAGAAAAAGAAAAATCATTAGTCACTTAATTCATATTTAAAATCGGTCCAAGTTATTGGAACACCCTTTATTTGATAATAGTTCAATATATGTATATAACATAACTTATAACGATGGTGTAGTGATAAAGAGGCATTTCGTTGTGGCGTAATAGTTAGCACGCTTATCTCGCTAGATCAAGTACACATGAGCAGTGAGTTCGATCCTCACAGGGTGCTCAATATTTAAGGTCTTGTGCTACGTCTAAGCTATACTTTGTAAGTCATTATAGAGATATGTTAGATGCATAATTAGCAGGTCGAAGCTGTTGTGAGAAAACTAAATAAAATAATAATAAAGAAAAAAATAAATACATTTTCCCATGATGAGGGTAATAAACGAACCGGAAAAGTTTTTTGGCCATCTGCGCAATTTTATGACTCCGATTCCGGGAAAGGACATAAACTTTCTCTCTCCACTTTCCCACGTAGAGCGTTCAGACATGTTTTAAAGCTCCACTCACGAGGTAAGTGATTTAGTCGTTCCAGCTCAGCGCAAAACCGACTTGAGCTCGATAATTTTAACTATTCTTATCCTTACTTACCCTAAGTTATTTCTGAACCAGAAAAAGAAAACGGACCTACCCAACAGGCATTGAGAACTTTGTATCCCTACAGTCGCCATAAAAATAGAATAACTGGTCCGTAGTAAAAACCCAAGTTTTTATATGCTTCTTTAGCTTTTTACATGTGAACATGCACCCTCATCTACGATACACCTACACGCAACCTTTAAACTCCATACTGTATTATTAAATTTTGATTAGGTAACTTCCGTTAGTCCGGTAACACTGATAGTTCGGTATGTTTCTAGAACTGAGTTTGTCGGAAAATGAGAGCTCGTCTAGTATATGAAAGTTAATATAAAACTTGTACTCAAAATTAAAAACATACAGAATAAAATATTAGAGTGCCAACAAACCTTAATTTTGAGGAGAGTTATTTTAATTTCATTATTGGCTTTGTTCTCACTACAAAGTTTCATGGTTTATTCAATTATCTTCCTATGAAAACAATATGAAAGAGAAACCAGCTGTCTCCTAGAACTCACAGTAAAGAGACAGGAAATTTTCACAGATGAAACAGAGAAGTCTGGTATAGCAGAGGATATTTAGAGAGGAAGCACGCTGAAATCCAAATACAAGGTAAGGCTCATCGAAAGCAGAAAAAAATTGAAGGGGGCAGTACACATTTATAAGACTGGTCATTATAGATTTCAATGTAGTGTGAATTTCTTTGCTTAAAAAAGGAAACGATAAAAATCTAATTGGAGTGTAGCTCTGCAAATAAAAATTATAGCACCACATGAATTCATAAAAATGGAACTGCTTGCCGTACTCGCGTGACTGAGAATGGGTTGATACGATTTGTAAATCAGTCACCATTTTTTAATTCTGTTTCAAACAGTTTTTGATACTGTACTTTATTTGATGAAATCGGCTGGACTTATATTCATATGAAAATTAAAATCCATAAAAATACTGAAATAGACAAATTGTCCGGTACTTTTCTTTTTTCGTGGTTGACCACCAACAAGTTACACCGAATAAGTTATCTCCCTTTTGTTTACATTAACATGGCTTTTGAGGAAGCGTTTTCAGACTTATCTGTTGTCGCTAACGTAGAGAGAACTCCACTAAAAGGGCGTCTCAACCAAAAACCATCTTCGTCGTCAACCTTGCCAGGATCCATCTAACCAAATGACATGAGAATATGATCTCCCCGTGTTAGCGATGATGTTGCAGAAGCAACGCTGTGCGAATCACTTGAATAAGCGGAGACAATGCCAGTGATCGTCAGAGTGCAGAACGCATTTGCCGGCTGTTACACCAAGCGTTTTTCGGGAGCTGCTACACAGTTGCACCCCCAATTGCGTACTTTTATATAATAATCACCCTAAGCATGGGCGGATTTAGAAGAGAGACCCTGGGGATGGAGAGGATACTAAAAAGACAAACCTTACTAAGGGCTAAAAATTGATATTTAATAAATTTAGTTTGGAACAAAATCCAAAGAATAAATTATCCTGTACTAATCAGTTCACATTATTAAATGTCTATCTAAACAATCATGGTACCAGTTCTTCCCATAGTGAAGTACTCTTCCTATTTCTAATGATAATTGAACTCATGACAGCACTGCATTAAAAAGAAGTTATCACAGGTTAGAAGTATAATTAAAAATAATTTTTATAAACATCTCCAGATACTACAAACATCTTGTGGCCTGGTGCCAGACAAAGTATGGCTTAGTTAGTATTAATAATAAAAATATAATAATATTGATATAAAAGACAGTATCACGAATGATAAAATTTCACCATGTAAGCGACTACAAATCTCATTGAAATTATGGTGCCAAAGACAAAAAAAAATGAGCGTTTCCCGTGATCACTGATTCTCATGCAGTCATCGGTATCTTTAGTGCAATTAGGGAGGTGCTGCTGTAGAGTTGAAATCCTCAGAATTCCTCAGAAATTCTTCGTTACAGGTCGTTGTTGTCTTGTACTGAAATAAAATAAACTGAGTGAAATATCAATTATGGGTGCTTTGCTTTAAATCCCAATAAATCCATAGCCAAATCTGATCGGAGATCCGTTATCCAAACAGAAGCTGGCCATTATTCTCAGAAAACCAGTATGTGACCAGCTTATTTATTTATTGCAACTGTCAAAAGGAAAGAAATTCTGTCTCGTGTAAATATTCATTTAGAAACAACCATTTCGACGATTTGTAATTATCATTTACACTATTTATATGCGGTTTATTGTCTTTATCTTTGTTGTTGTTATCACAACATTGCGGCCGTTGTGCCCCTCACCCCGCTTTTATCATGGGTATATGATCCGAGTAAACTACAGGAAAACCCTTCATTTAATCTACGGGGGTAGACTGTTCTTGTTCTACTGCCTATATCTAGGAATGACTCGTCTAGTTCTTCTTATTAGTACTGCTCAGTTGTTGTTCGCCCTGGTTCCACTGAGTCCAAGAACACACTGCTCAACTCTGAGTTTGAATTCACACTTACTATGTCATCAAATTCACGAACCAATGCTTTAATCCACTCGACTATATAGTCTGTGGAGAACTTGGAGCGCTAAACCTAACCTGACTGTTGATGCTGCAGTTGTAACTGCTGCCGCTTGTCAAGATATCCCTAGATATGAACAGTGGAACAAGGACAGTTTAAAGGGCTCAGTTCTGTATTCCCTGTAGGTTACCCGAATCGACATAAACCTGATGAAGGACGGAGGATACACAAGGGTCGAAACGTTGTGATAACAACAACAACAACGAGGACAATATTCTGCACGAAAATAGTATTTTTCAACTATTAGCATAAAATGACACATAGGCAGTAACCAATTGACTGATTCATTTTCTACGGCTTATCAACCCTTTGAAGGTTATTTGAAGCCAGAAAATATTTTTAGACTGTAAGAAATTTTTTTGTGACAGTAATGATTTAGTGATACAAGACTTACTAATTAATCCTTAGCTGAGGGTGGATTCATACCTTTTCCAGGGGTATTTACGCGAAAGTGAATAAAACGAACCCAACTGGAATTGGAACTCGGCTCTCCGATAAACAATTTCGAGCCATTATCCATTACACTACCCGCACATACACAGCACGTTGTATTCCCAAGCGGTTACACATCTAGGTACTGGCCAGGGTCGACGTTGCTTAACTTCTGTGATCTTACGGGAACCGGTGTTTTAACGTGTGGTGTTCGTAAGCCTTGCCAATGTTTACGGCAGACAAAGAAGACAACATCTGAGAATGTCTTTGGATACTGACGTTCCCTTTCTAAGTTTTTCTTATTTCCTTTCCTCTCCGACTAATTTTATATATTCATGGAAAATATTATTTGCTGTGATTAATAAATTTTTGTACAAAGTTGGAAGAAATGAGGAAAAACAATGAATTTTCGCTTTCTTTTGGTCAAAGGATGTGCGGGTGGTCCAATGGATAGCGACTCAAAATATAAAATAGAAGAGCCGAGTTCGAATTTCGATTAGGTTCTTTACATTCATTTACGCGTAAATACCCTTGGGAAATATAAATCTATCTTCTCCCTCCAGCTATGAGTTAAAAAGTAGGACTTGTATCGGAAAAATCTTTTGTTATTCTCAGAAAATTTTTGTAATTCATTTGTAAAAAAAATTATTATTCTTAGGATAAGATACAAACTATGTTTCGGCTTTAATATAAATATTAAAGCCGAAACAGGCTTAAAATAATCCGTAAAAATAAACAACTTTTGTTTCAAAAAATGTTACCATAGTGTTTTTTGAATGGTTTCAGTTTAAAAAGGTATATTACAGTAATATTCTATGTCGTAAATATCTTGAATGAAAATCAATTTTTTTTTTTTTCATATTTCTGTGTCTGCTGCATTTGCTACTTAGTGATTCAGAGTTTGACGTCCATCAGCTTATAATCCGAAGAGAAGTTGATAATATTTAACCTTCATGCCCCCACTCACCAAAAACACCTATTAGTGTCTACACTTTTCACTACCTCGGCAATGTCTATTTTTAAAAAGCGATGATTTGAGAATTGACAACAAAAATATTAAACGCTATTTATTTATTTAGAGTGAATAAAAACACTTGTTTTCATAGTTATTTATAAAATGGTAAACAATAAATATTGTATTACAGTTGGTTTTTTACATATTTTGATAATTTTGTAATTTTTTATAATTTTTTTAATAAAAAAATTATTTTCAAACTTATTTCTTTATAAAATGGTTAATAAATCTTTATAAAAAGTAATTAATAAATATCGCATTGTACTTTGTTCACATATTTTTATAATCTTGTAAATAAACATTGCTGAGGGAGTGAAAAGTGGATACAGTAATAGCGGTGTCAAGGGAATAACCGTCCTTTTTCACATACTTGTTCTTTTTTTTTTTTTTTTTTTTTTTTTTTTGCGGGCACGAAGTTTAAATATTGCGGAGAAGTTTCTGAAATGTTTTCGATGCCGTTATAGATTATGGCGCTTTGTTAGTTAGATTTGTTCCATTAAAGAGGAAAAATAGGGTCGACCTATACACGAGGCATATCAGAAATTGATTGGCCAAAAGTCGAAGCCCTACTTATTAATGAAATGCCGATTCAATTTCGAAGTTTTTTAAAAGCCTAAGCAATTAACTCCTTTGAAACGACTAAAGTTAACTCAGTAGACGAAGAAATTAATATAGACGGAAAATTTGAAAATGATTTTGGATAAGTTATTTTATTTTCTGAATTTACGTAACCATGTAGAAAAAAAAAATAGAAAAAAAGAGAAAAAAAACGATAAAAAAAGATAAAAAAAAACGAAAAACCTTTCATGACGCTTTTATTTTAGTTTTAATTTCAAACTAATAAATTAATTTAATATTTGCAATAAGCAAAATACTTTATAGTATTTCAAAAACTAATTTAAATTGACTGAGAGGAAGATTTTGTTTTTGTTTTTTGTTTTTTTTTTGTTTTTTGCTAAAATAGCTGATTAGTGTCCTTTTTTTAGTCTTTCCTCGCAATGTAATTCTCGTTATTAACTTTCTGAAACTTTATTTTAAGAATATTAGCTGATTTAACGTATAATTAATCTGAGTTAAAACAAATATTACTTACTTTAAGTTTAAAATATCGCAGAAATAAATCTTTTAAGTAGCTGTGTTTTTAACCGACAGCAACTATGTTGTGAGGACGGACTAATTGTTGTTCTACCGAGAATTTATCTGTAAAACATAAAAAAAATGACGTGAGCGTCTTTTATATATAATTTTTAAGTACTTAGTAATCTTTAAATTTAAAAAAAAAATATTCTCCGTAATATAATTTTAAGAATGTTCACTTTAAATTTACTATAGTCATCGCTCTTCTTTTCTTATAATGTTGTGTATGGTTGCCCATACTTTCAAAATGGGAACGTTTATACACATAAAAAATTCTAAATTCTTTTAAAAATCTTGGTGTTTGAATACTGGTACCATAATTTAATTCTTTTGTGAATAATGCCTGGAAATTTAATTAAAACCCGACAATTATTTGATTTTTGCAAGAATTTCCAAAACAATGTGTTTGTTTTTTTAACGCAAAAAAAACACGCTATTTTCTCATAGTAATATTTGGCCCTCCACTGATGGAAAAAAAAAGATTTTTAATCAAAAGTTCAAACATGTTAGGAAGAATAAAAATTTAATAAAATAATCAAAAAATATTTCGGTCTTTCCTCTTAATAACAACATAAACATTTTAACGATAAAATAATTTTAATTCATTTGTGAGCAAGTCCTGAATGTTTAATTGAAATCCGACATATTTTGATTTTTGCCAAAAATAAATCTAATTTTTCCGGAAAAAAGGTGCTAAAATACATCTCGGATTGAGGAATCGGAGAACCAAGTTAGAATTTTAGTCCAATCACTTATGTGCTAATACCCTTGGGAAAGATATGAATCCTCTTCTTCTCTCCCCCCACCCAAACCGAGCTATAGGTAAATAGCAGGCCAGACCAGGTTCTATAGTCTTGGATGGCAACTGGTGTACCCCAGAAAGAAATGGAAACCTACTGCGGGGGAAAATATCTACCGCGTCAGTCATGTATCGAAAGATACATGATCGCCTAAGCGTGAATCACTCATGGCAAATAACTGAATCTTGGGTTTACCGCTGCCGAAAAAAAAATTAACCAAAATTTCGAACGTGGTAGAAAGAATAAAAATTTAATAAAATAATTAAAAAATACTTTGGTCTTTCCTCTTAATAATAACAAACATTTTGACGATAAAACTTTGTTTTTATCAAGTTTGGGACTTTTTTTCATTATGGTATGCTCAATTTTAGAGAAAAATTGGAGGTACCAAGATGTTTTTTTTTTTATTTTATACCAAAGGAGAATGTCATGCACCGACACACACTTTTCCTTCTTTATACTATCATACTGTCAATATCAAACATACACACATGCATACGTTTTCTTCATTATACGAAAGGACAATGTCATACACACACGCGTTTTCTTCTTAATGCGAAGGACAATGCCATACACCTTTCAAACACACACAGGTTTTCTTCTTTATATTAAAGAACTATGTCAGACGCAAGCACACACACACACACACACACACACATATATATATATTTCTAAAGAATTAATGTATTTTATTTACTATTCGGCATAATTTCTTGTTATTTTAAATGTTTTATATAATATTTAAATGTTTATTTAAATATTTTATTTTAAACGTGTGTGAATAGACATTCCTTTTTTACAATGTTTTAAAAAACGTTAACCCACTAAATATAGCATTTAAAGTAATAATACTACTAATAATAATAATAATAAGCGAATGGATGTCAAAACTCGAAAGCTATTCATTTGCCACCGCATGCACCATCCTAACGCTGATGTTGATCGTGTACACATTTCCAGAACTAGAACTGCCTTATAACAATCGGTCTTCAAAGATACTTAGATACTATAGAAGACTGGTTGATGATCTGTGTCAAAGAGCAGGAAAGAAATAAGAAACCTTATTAGGTAATAAAGGAAGCCAACAATTTCAAAAAGAAATTTCAAATGGATGAAGAAATGCAAGTAAACTATAATACATCTACTGCAGTTACAAAGAACTTAAAAAAGAAGTGAAAAGCAAATGCAATGAACCAAATGCGAAAACGATGTAGGATAAGCCTTTTCAGGGTTAAGACTCTACCCCCACCCCCTTTGCGAAACAAGCTGATGTAGACAAACCCCATGTTCATCAGTGGTTGCGTAGTGTAGGGTTGAAAACTAAAATTGAAGGTTTTATTCTTGCTACACAGGACCAATGATTGCTGACTAGAAATTACCAAACAAACAAATTTGATAAATTGTATTAAGCCGAAATGCAGATTCTGTGATAAATATGCAGAAACAATTGACCATCTTGTATCATGTTGCACAGTGTTAGCATCAACTGAATATCAATCTTGGTATGACAGAGTGGGTCAATATCTGCACTGGAAAATATGCAACTTTTACGGCAAGGAAACTGAAAGAAACTGGTTTGAACATCACCCGGACCCTGTTACAGAGATATGATATATAACAATTTTATGGGACTTTACAATACACACAGAGAGAACAATCAAATTGGATCGCAGATCCTTGCAGATTGTAATATATCTTTGAAGATCTTCAAAAAACTATCAGAATACAAGGATCTTTCTATTAAATCAAACTTTTTTTGTTTTCTATGCGAATTTACTTATTATGCATCTGTCTACAATTAATTATATGAAAAGTATGTTTATTCATTAGTTGGAAATACAATAAACTAAAAATTTGCATGTGTACGAATATTTGTTTCACTCCACTGTATAACACACACACACATATATATGAATAAATATAGTCTTAAGCTGTGCTACATTTATGGGATAAATTGCTCAATATTAAAGATAGAGCGTGTGTAAATATAAAAGTGAACATTGAAATCAACACTTAGAGGCGACAGGCTGTTTCATGCGAGACCCTCTAAGTGTTGACTTCAATGTTCACTTTTATATATATATATATATATATATATATATATATATATATATATATATATATATATATATATATATATAATAAGTGTATATATATATATATATATATAACAATATATATATATAAGTGTGTGTGTATATATATATATATATATATACACACCTATATATATATGTGTGTATATATATA